AACCTTATTCCAAACAGCCAGGTTAATCACATTCAAACCACCCTGATTCATAGGGCTACAAAATTTCTTCCAGGCCACAGGGCTCTTACGACTAATCTCATGAGTACCATTCCAAATGAAAGATTTGCATAAGGCATCTATTTTCTTTAGTACAAATTTGGGAAGAGGTAAGCATTGTAACCAAAACTGAGTTATAGCAAAGGAATGCTTTTGACAAGCTGAATCCTCCCTGCATAACTCAGTAGCCTAGATGACCAGTGACGAATCCTGCAAATAATTTTGTCAATCAGAGGAAGGTAATGGTTGATGGAGAGCTTCCTACTAGTAAGAGGAATTTCCAAATATCTAACTGGCAGCACTCCCCTCATCAAAACTGGTTATCCCTAGCAGCTCCAGCTTTAGATCATTCTCAATACCCCCAAAAAATATTTTGCACTTATTGGGATTGATAACCAATCCAGTAGAATCAGAAAAAGTGCAAACAATCTTCATTAAGAAACTCGCGCAGAATCAAGATCCCGCTCTGCAGAAAAGAAGGACATCATCTGCAAATGTAAGGTTGGTGAAGCCAATTTTTTTCACATTTGGCATGAAACTTGAACTTGGGGTTCACCTGCATTTTAATCAACAATTTGTTCATATATTCCATCACCATAACAAATAGCAAGGGGGATAGGGGATCCCCTTGCCTAACCCCTCTACAAGCTTGCATAGAGTTAGTTAGTTCACCATTAACATTGAATTCATAGGTAACTGTTTTAACAGCAATCATGATCCAGTTCATAAACTGAGATTGAATACCTATCTCACTCAAGATAACTTATAGAGCCCTCAAGTCCACCATATCATAGGCCTTTTGGAGGTTCAGTTGCAACATATATCTAGGGGATTCATTCTTCCTTGTGTAACCCTTTTATGAGCTCATATGCTAGTATAATGTGGTTGTGAATGCTCTTCCCAAGGATAAATGCAGCTTGGCTAAAGACTCAAGGTCCCCCTAAAGAACAAAACCTAATATGGCAGCAAGGATTCTAGAGATAATTTTATAGAAAGTAGTACAACCAACAATCGGGTCTATAATACCTCACTCCTTTGGCTTGGTCATGTTTGGGGATCAAAGTAATAACAATTTTATTGAAAGGGCTAAAAATTCTATTCTTCTCAAAGAATTCCATCACAGATGCCAAGACATCAGCCTGAATAAAGTGCCAACAGGACTTAAAGAATTTTGCACCAAACCCGTCTGCACTAGGGGCTTTAAGATCTCCAATGTCCTGCAAAGCTTTATCTATTTCAGCAACAGTTACTCTGCTAGTCAAGTACTCCCTCTGGATCATGCTAAGCTGCTTACCCTTTATCATGGCATCAATTCAACATGAGACAAAGACTGACTTTGAGCCCCCATAAGCTTAACATAAAGTCTTTAACCTCCTGCATTATGTCCTTTTTGGTTGGAAAGAATGGAACCATCATCTTTTTGGATTACTGTCATACTTTTATTGTTGTGCTTGGCTTTTAGGTAAGCATGCAAAAATGCATTATTTCCATCCCCCTCTTTTTAACCAGTCAATTTTAGTTTTCTGCAACATCAACTTCTCCTCCATCTGATTCCAGTGAACTATTTCATCAGTCAGTCCTTCTTATCTCCTCAATCTTTTGGCTATCAAACCTATTATGCTGAAGATCATTTTGAGCTGAAAGGAGACTTTGCCTAGTCTTGACAATGTTCTTCCTAATATCATTTGTATGGCAGTTTAATCTCCTTAGGAACCGACTTAAGTCTTTGCAGCTTATGCCACAAGATTTGCATTGGGGTGCCTCTCATAGGTTTGCTCCAGTTTTTCTTGAATGCATTCTCAAACCCCTCAAACTCAACCAGATAATTATTAAACTTGAAGCTCCCACTGGATTTCTTCTTGGTCTTATAATCAGTTAACAACATCAGGGCATGATCTAATATTCCAGGGGGCAGAATATACAAGGTCATTGAGCTAAATTTCTGAAACCAATCCACATTACCCAACAATCTGTCAATAAACAAGTAGATAGTCCCTGAGCTTTGCTTATTAGACCGAGTGAAGTAATCACCATTAGTACCCATTTCACTAAGCCCAATATTGTTCAGCATGTCCTGGAAATCCTTATATTCATTCTCTGTAACTAAATTACCACCAATTATGTCTTGTGCAGTAGCCACGTTGTTATAATCCCCAAACAAGCACCAATGCCCATGAATATTCCTATGGATGTTCTCAACAATCTTCCACAAGTGTTTTCCGTCCTCCAAGCGATTAAGAGCATAAACAGCTGTTAGCCAAAACTTGAAGCAGCCCCCAATATCATAGACCCCACAATGAATAGATTGACTAGTTATATGCACACTTCTAACATCATATTTGGTATTATCCCAGCTAATCCATAGTCTGCCATTAGCATGCTCAACATGATTGTCCAAGTATTCACCCCTAAAGTGAAGCTTATCTCTAATTGCTGAAGCTTTATTACTTTTAACACGAGTTTCAATCAATATACAAATCTCAGGATGTAAATCATGGAGACGGGAGGCAATCTCCTTTATTTTGCCACTCTTATTTAACCCCCTCACATTCCATGCCACCATCATGGAACCTTATCAAGGGTGATTAAGGGGTCATTCAAAACCTCCAGCACATCAAACCCATTAACACATGGTACCACAGTTGAGGGATCAACAAAGTGAATAGACTTACCTTTTACTTTTCTAACCTTTGTCCATTCCTCTTCAGTTCCATCAGTGGATGCCCTTATTATCTCATCCTTGGGAGTAAACACACTAGCTACAGATTCCTCCTTCAGCTCAGTTTATCGCGTTTTAGGCTGCCATATCTTCTTCTTTGGCTCCTCATCACACTGATGACCAACCTTTTGGCATTTCTCATAAAACTTAGGTTTCCATTCATACTGCATTTATTGCTTCATCTTAACCCCTCCCTTATCTTTGATCACAACCTCCTCCACAAGTTTTTTTGTAATATTCACCTCAACTAGAATCCTTGCATACGATACTCTTAACTTATGGGTTATGCATTCATCTGTAACCAAGGGCACACGTACGGAACTACCAATCTTATTAAGACTCTTTTCTCCCCAAAGGTAAATGGGAAGTCTGAGAAGCTTAATCCATATAGGTATAGTACGCAGCATATCCTGTTTCATATTGAAATCTGGCTTCCATTCCTTGAGGATCATTGGCATACCCCTAATAGAATAAGGGCATTTCATCAAAACTACATCCATGTCGTCAAGAGTTTTGAATCTAAGGATAAAATATCCATCATCATGATAGTACATATTCGGGAGATTAACAAAATTTAACATCTTCTCCATGAATTTCTTAACCGAATTCATACTTAGGTCTTCGCCAAGAACATAGAGGATAAGCGAGCTCTTCCAGTACATAAGTTCAGTAGCAATATCTTCATCTTCAATCTCAATTTCAATCTCGCCGTTGACTAGGGTTGGTGCAACATAAGCCATCGCTCTCCACTTCTTAGGATTACGATTCTCACTGAGTATCTCCACCCACAGCTTACGATTCTCTTGATTTTCCGTAGCAGTCGCATTCTGGGAAGGTTGGTCTTCTGCAAAAGGAACATTCTCCTCCTTCTTGTTGTGCTCTTCTTCAAAGTGGGGTTCAGAACCCTGCGCCGGTGTAGGGAGGCTCGGTGGGGACAGAGGCACCACATTTCTCAGACGCCCACGACCCTTCTTCGCCATTTTGTCCAGATTTTATTATTATTATTATTATTATTATTATTATTATTATTATTATTATTATTATTATTATTATTATTATTATTAACAAAGTTATAAACATGACTCTTTTGACTAAGTTAAGAGCATCCAATAATTGTGTTATGACTTAATTACTAATTACTAGTTAAAATCAAATCAAGACACTTTGGGTATTCTACCATGTATAGTTTGATTAATGATAATTTAGATGATTATGATGAATAAGTTCAAAAGAAAAAATATGCATGAAATTTATTTTTGAAACAAAGTTGAATCATTTTTGGAAGATGAATTTTAATCGCGAAGTCATGACTTTGATATTTTGTTATAGTGGAAGTTGAATAGCATCAAATATCCAATACTCCAAGAAATTGCTAAAAGTATTTATTAGAAATTCATATTTTTTGCCTTATCTTTTTGAATCTACATTCAATAGTATTGTTCATATCTTGATACCGCTTCAAAAGCTACTTAACTAAAAACCTTAAGAGGTATTGGCGTAGGCTAGAAGTTGGTTATATATTGTCAGAAACAACGATATGGTTTTAAATGGTTCATCAACTTAATTATCTAATGAAAAGAAAAATACTTTTGTATTTGTTAACTTATTACTATTTGTATTGTACTACATTTCATATTGTAGACGGTGTGAGCTTTAAAGTAAGCAATGGGTATATGTTACTTTACTCAATGAAATAAATAATCATGATGAAAGTGAAATCTTCCTTCCTTATTTATGTCATTCTAAGATTTTAGAAATCAGGATATGGTTCTCAAGTTGTAGGATTCCTTTGTATATAATATGATATTATTATTTTTACTACTATTATATTATGTTATTGGTCGCGGTTTTGTTTTTAAAGTGACACTATTTAATATTTGTGAAAATCAATGAGGATTAACAAAACATGGAATTGTCAATGAGATACCATTTCCCGATATTTAAAACTAGTTCAGTTAATTATAAGGGAAGGTTATTTTAGTGCGATAACATCGCTAAAACTTTTTTTAATATATGCATGGACAATTACACATTTGAACTATTTGCTTTTATGGTGTGGAGTTTTTATTTTTTTGTATAGGTAAACAATTTATATTTAAATTTGTTTTTATATACATGTTTATGTTATTGTATTTAAGATGATAATTATAGAATTTTGGCTTATTATCTAGTTATCTTAGAAAGTTAAATGGACAATGAATGTGATTGTTTTGATAATTTGGAACATTGGTTAATTTAAAATAGTAATATTTAGGTTTGTCGTTTATTGTTTAGTTTTGATGATTTAGAATATTAGTTGTATAGTTGATGCACAATGATTGTAGTTTGTTAGTTTTATTTGTCATTAATGAAATAACAAAGGATTTAAGACATGTTTTAAGTTTAGGTAGGAGTCTGGATTTAGTGTGGGGCGACATTTTTTTATAAACCACTAATTCTATTGCAAAGATAGACAAGGTGAGGATGGTGTTCTATTTTGCACCACCTTCAGGAATGTGGGAAACATATTTATCTGAGAGTCAAGAAAAGAAGAGAAGTTTGGATGTGTATATGCGTGGGTTTATTTCTTAGATGCATTTCCTGCAAACCTAGGCATTACGATCTTTTTCAAGTTGAACTTACATGTATTATTCTGCCTATAGAGCATGCTTCTAGAAGAATATGAAATCAAATATGGCTTGAACTTGATTCTCTTCTTGCCATTCGATCATCATTCACTAATACTATTATTATTTCTCGAAAGTTTTTATCCAAATAGAAAAAATCGTCTTCATACTAAATTGAGAAACACAATTTTCCTCAAAAACGGCAACCTTAATTTCTCTTCACTACCTCGACCATGCTCAAATCGTCCGAGCTATTTTTTTTATAAAACATAACTTTCATCATTTTGAGTTACAACTTTAAAAATCTAAATCCCAAGATCGCGCCACATCCACATTAAGTTTGAAAGATTTGACGGAGAGGCTTTTACAATTGTATCCCTAATAAGTATTTGGTTATTTTTATAACATGTTTTATTCCTTCCTCCTGCTAAATAACATATATAGTAGAAAATTTCATTTCTATAACTTTTACGTTTGTTAGGTATAAATCAAACAACTCATCGAAATATACTTTTTAGGTTGTGCTAGTAGAAACAAGTTCAAATAGGAAATTCAAGTCACATTTTTTTACTCCAAATACAATTTAAAAAAAAATGTATTTAAATTTTCTTATGTGTATTTTTCATCTATGTTAAATCTAATGACACAAAATTCCTCTATATTTAGCTTTATATCTGAGATGACATCAATTTTTTGGATCTTTAATGTAATTTTGTTTAAATGAAAAATATTAAATTTCATAACATAGACAAAATTTCCATAACGTTGATGTATATGTTAATTATAATGAGTAAAATCTTTTTAAAACGTCTTTTATGGAATTGCCTCTAATTAATTCTTTGGTTTTTGTTTAAATTTCCTCGAACAATGAAGTTTCAAGATGTTTTACACATTCTTCTTCTTCATTATCCAATATTTCATATGCTTCTATTACTCAATTTACTATCACTTTCTAATGGTGAAGATGTTGTCTCCGTTAAATTTGCATCCTCAACAAGTTCTTCAATTGCAGCAGTTTGCACGCATTAGGATTGTTCATTTAAATGATACATAACCTCAAATATTATATATACCTCCTTCATCATGGAACCTTAACATATGTTCCCCCATATCTACATCAATGAGGGCTATTCTTATAGATAATAATGGTCTTTGTAATAAAACGGTGTCTCTGAATCTCCAGCCATATCTAAAATAACAAAATTAGATTAAAATATGAATTCATCAACTTTTACCAACACATCCTCTGTGATGTCATACAAATATACTTGTGATATTTCTACTAATGTGAGTTTAATCTTCGTAGATGTGTATGCGGTGTGATTTCCTTCTCTTCAATTTTCCTTTCTTTGTTCACACATTCTTTCCTATTTTTCCTCACTAATTTATCTCTCTTTTTCAAATACACCCTAAAGTTCTTTTTGCTCTATTTTTTAGGACTTTTTCTTCTTAGTCTCCTCGGACTAACGTTCTTAAGGATTCATCTACTCCTTAATTCCATAGTATGGAAATTCACATACTCCTTTTTTTATTATTGCGTCCAATTTGTCTTCAATTCGATTAAAACATGTTGACATATTGTCTTACTATTCCCAAATTAAATTCTAATCATTCAAATATGTTTTGCACAAAACTAAACAAACAAATACTTTCAGTGGTGCCAAATGAAATGTAATAAAATAAATTTAAGAAAACTGAAAAATAAAATAAAACAATATAACAAAAATAGCCTAATATTTCCCTGTTGAAATAATTAATAATATCTGACAACGACACTGTTTTGTTGGTCTAGACATACAAGTGTAGTATAAATTGTACCAATAAAAATGGCAAATGATGAGTAAATTTAAATTCTCTCCAAGGATATTGTTTTAATTTTGGTAAGACTAAGGAAATTATACTTATTATCAGAAAAATGAATGACATAATGTAAAGAAGGGCTACACATAGCATAAACTGTATTGGTTTTGTAAATATTGTAAAAATACATAAACTAAACGGTTAAGCCCCTCTTTGAATCCGTTACCATTTGTATATGGTTAATCTCTAACTGAGTCCAAAATGACTCTTCTTATATCATGATTATTTTACAAAATAGTTGTGTGTGATGTCTTGTCA